ATCAAGCAGAGGAAGTGCTGTGGCAAGAGAAGACCCTGTACAGGATTTACCATCGACAGATAGCTCAGGTGGCTGACATTGAGAAATCCTACCAATGATTGGAAAGGACTGAAGGTCAGCATAGAGGCACCAATCATAGCAATACAAGTATAGGTACTATGTACCAGGTCCGTAGAAGCAGGTTTGCCACACTAGAGAGGATCCAAGGTGCTGACTATGCAGAGACGCCTGAGAGACAGTCCAACACATAACAGCAGGGATTAAGATGCAGTAGGGAAAAGGAAATCCCACAGAAAGTTGTGGGGAATATGGACTTCCAAATGCACACAGAAAGGCAGGTAAATAGCCAAAGGCCAAAGTGGTCCCAGTGGCAGTAGGGCCCTTGAGACTGTGACTCCTAAGCTGAGAGAGTGGCTCCAGCAGATCCCATGAATAACATGAGCTCTCTGTTCAGAAGAGAACAATGCTAGAAGCAGCTAAGATACGGCATAGAACATTCAAACTCCTAGGATTCTGATAGAGGGCCTGAGATTGAGGAAAACATACCACTCATAGGGGTGAGAAGGGATTTGTAAAAAAACAAGAATCAGTTAATGTTGCAAAACCAGGCTACATAATTTGTTTCATAGCAGCTATCATTTCAGAATGTTTACAGAAGTAAAACAGAATGTTTTGATCTTTAAAAAGTCCACAACTTTTTAAAGAAGGTCAGTTCTTATCTTGATATAAAACCAATTGATATAAAACCAATTTTAATGAAGAGTAATTGCAATATAACCCTTCAAACTATTTTTCATTTCACACTACATTCAAGCTACTCATGAACTTAAAATTCTCCTCAGAATGCACATTTCTATATCAGTTGACATACTGCAATTAGGGTTTTAATTTTTTGTAATTAGCTTAGACTCCAGATAGTCATCACTTTGGGAAATAGATACTTCTCAACAGGACTGAAAAGATAAATATTCAATTGTCAATTACGTCTCTTAGGATCTGAAGAGATTCAGAATTGAAATGGCCATTTTGAAGCTTATAAATTCCTCCTGATTTGGTGGCAGCAGGAGAAAAGAAGTATCAGGGTTTGCTTCTTTCAAATATTGAAGCAAATCTGCTGATTTCAGACCTGCTGAATAAATAGGGGAGTCACAAATGCATCTTACATGCTTAAACCTATATTCCAAAACGTTGTGCTGCAGTTTGAAGAGCATACACACAGAGAGAAATAAAAATGAAAAACTATGAAAAACTATGAATTCTGAAAATACATACAATATATATCCCTTAGAGCAGGAGTGTCAAACTTGATTTCACTGAGGACCGCATCAGGGTTGTGTTTGACCTCAGGGGGCCAGGGTGGGCATGACCAGCTCAACATCACTCATGTCGTGGATTCTTGTGGTGGCCTGAGTGCTCTGCCAGTGAAAATGGGCTCCCAAGCTCCCTTTTTGGCTGCAACGGCCTCCTGCAACCCCCTGCCAGTGAAAACGGAATTCGGGAGGGCTGCTTGTTTTTGCTGGCAGAGGCACCATGGGCAATTCTTTGCTGTTTCCAGGGCGATTCTGCGGGCCAGATGTGGCCCCTGGGCCTTGTGTTTGACACCTTTGCCTTAGAGAATGGTATACAAAAAAACAAGCAGTTCAAAGAAGAAAAAGTGCCATTGGTGCACACCTTGCATATCTTAATAAAAAGTTTATAAAACACCTTCTCACCCATTTTGATGAAAGTGTTAGAGCACGGAGATTTCTGAGGAAGAATGATGAACAGAAGATGGCTCCACTAAGAGTGGAGCTGATGACTGAAGCACAATGAAGAGCCAGAATGAAAAGCCAAATCTTCATGATTTCTATCCCAACAAGGATTGGGATCACCCACAAGTCCTCCAGACGGCAGATCCTTTTGAAGAGACTGCATAATAGCAATGTCTTGTCCCATACTGTGGGAATGATGTGGAGGGAGGTGTTACACTGATTGTACAGAGTGCTGGGAGATGAGGGATTGCTATCTTTGTCTAACTTGCAATCAGCACCTTTATGAACATAGGGTTCACATACTTCCTTTCTTATCTTTGGAAATTGATTGTTAACTGCTTTTCAGATATTAAGATATTAACTTCAAGTTTTGTTACAGTGGGTGAGTTACTTGCAATCTCCAGAAAAATAAGTTTTATACAAGTATAAGGACTTTTTTAAAAGTCTCTTTATCGCGAAAGAGTGTTTAGATTTCTGGAAAATTATAAATGGACTAAAATCCAGATGGATTTGAAATAAGATTCTGAAGCTAATTATAAGAATCCTTCCTATGGGAAAAGGCTGATGTTTTGAATACTTAAAAATGTGTGATAAGATAAAATTTTGAAAGTAGAGGGAACGAGAAGGAATTAAAGAATAGACTTACTTAAACAGTATGGAGCAAACTATATTAACATTAGATCTATTGAAAGATATTGGGGGAGAGTCTTACCCAGTTATCTGAGAATGGTTTGAACCTGTTAGATCTAAGGAAGTCAACAGGATCCTTAAGACTCTGAGGTCAGCCACCAGCTCTTTAAATCTTTCTTGGTTTGTTAAAGTGGCTCAGAGAGTGAGGTTTTACACACACACACACACACACACACACACACACACACACACACACACATGTGTATATGTATAGGTGTGTATATATATATATATAAATTTATTAACTTTTTATTAATTACATTTCTTAATGCTTAATAAACATTGTGTTGTCTGGGTATTTAATTTGCTTAAAAATAGTGATCATATTACCCCTTTTTTTCCAACCACTGGTAAAATAGATTCCATGTTTGATAATATTCTGTGTCTTCTTTCTGTTTAATTTTCAATGTCAATCTATCCATTTCTGCACAGTCTAGAATCTTCTTAATTAACTCTTAATCGCGCGGTGTTTCTTCATTTTTCCAATATTGTGCGAATATAATTCTCACTGCTGTTACAACATGTAATATTAAATACATACTTTTCTTATCTAATTTTTCTAATATTATACCTAATAAAAACAGTTCAGGTTTAAAATCTACATGTTTCCCTATCATCTTTTCTAGCCACCTGTGTATCTATGCCCAATTTTTTTTTTTTGCTTTAACACAAGTCCACAATATGTGATAAAATGTGCCCGTTCTTTGGTTACATTTCCAACATTTGCTAGACATATTTTTAAACATTTTAGCTAACCTAACTGGTGGTAAATGCCATCTATAAAACATTTTATATAAGTTTTCTTTATAAGAGGTTGCCATTGTTAATTTATAGTTCCTTTCCTATAGATTTTGCCATTTATATAGTTCTATGTTATAGCCAAAAAAAATTCCCCATTGTACCATTGTCTTTTATTTGTTCATTTCCCATTTTCAAATTTAGTAAAAAATTATATACCTTCTTAATTAGTTTTTCACCAGAGTTCAACAGTGTCTGATCAAATGGTGTTGGTCTTTTGTAAAAGCTATATGTTTTCATATCTAAATCGTACCTAGATTGTATTTGCAATTGAGGCCACCATGATGCTTTTGCTTCGGTTTTAGTTTCCCCTCCAAAATGTCTTTGTATGTCACAATTTTATCAAACTTCACCAGATTTGGGTATGTAAAGGTTTCCATCGTTGAGAGCCATTCTGGGATTTTCAAATATATTTTAGGTTTTATTTTTTTCCCATACAGATATTAGTGAGTTTCTTATATAGTGATTTTGAAAGTATCTATGGATTTTGTTCTTCTCATACATAGGAAGATGTGCCATCCCAGTTGTAAGTCATGTCCTTCTAGATATAACAATCTCTTGTGTCTGAGGGTCAGGGAGTGGGTTTTAACAGTGGTTAATTCTTCTTTATTTTATTTATTTATTTATTTATTTGAATTTATATACCGCCCTTCTCCCGAAGGACTCAGGGCAGTGTACAGCCAGAATAAGAACACACAAATAGAAAATTTAATAGCAATTTAAAATATATATTAAACAATATGGCCCGTAACTAATTAAAAACCCATTTTTAAACCTCAAAAATTAAAAATTAAAAATTAAAGATTAAAAGTTAAAAAGAATTAGTATTAGGCCAGCCCGACTTGTTGGAACAAAAGAGTCTTGAGGGCATGGCGGAAGGTGCGTAGGTCCGGGATCCTCCGAATCTCCAGGGGCAATTCGTTCCAGAGGGCAGGTGCCTTCACAGAGAAGGCTCTCCCCCAGGGGTCGCCAGTCAACATTGACTGACCAATGGCACCCGGAGGAGACACTCTCTGTGGGAGCATACTGGACGGTGGGAGGTTAGCAGAAGGTGGTAGCAGAAGGCGGTCTCGTAGGTATCCAGGTCCTAAGCCATGCTTTAAGTGAGACAGTTGTTCCCTTGCCTCTTAAAGGAGCTTTGGTTCAACCCTCCTCAAGTCACCACTGGATCCCATCATACTGGATAATTTTTATGCAATATCTAACCTCCCTTTTGGGGGGAAGGTGATTTAGATGGTAATTCAAAACATCTTCAAAGGACCTTGAAAGGGGTGGAATATTAGGATCCTTTTCAGTCAGGATTCAGACCTGGATATGGGACAGAAATGACATTGGTTGTGCTTTTAGATAACCTCTGGCAAGAGTGGGATGGGGATTGTCTATCTATCCTTGCCCTACTTCAATTTCAGTGACTTTCAGTGCTGTTGATCAGGACATCCTTCTGGCTTGTTTAGCGGATTGGGCATGGGTGGCACAGTTTAGTGCTGGTTCACCTCCTTTCTTCAGGATCAATTTCAGTTGTGGTTACTGGAGAAGACAAATCCCACCCTTGGGCCCATACTATGGGAATGGTGTGGAAGGAGGTGCTATATTGAATGTACAGATGAAATCTGTTGATGTTTTACCAAACCAAAAATGTTTTGATGTTTTACCAAACTTGAATAACATGTTTATACTGAATTTACTGAAGTTACAAAACAGACCTGTTAAAGTTGTGAAGAATTTTGTGAGAAGGGACAAGAAAGTAAAAATGAGAAGAAATCAAATTCCAGGACTTTATTTGATAGGATTAAGGACTAACATTATTAAAGGTACAAAGAAAGAATATAAAGTTGGTTTATTTGGTTAAGATTAAAATAGATATGTTATCTCTGGAAAGCCTTAATAGACTTTTGCTGAGTAAGACTGAATGACAAGGCATTTAAGGATTTGTTTATCGATAAGAAATGGGTTATGAGAAGAACTCTTCTTCTGATAAATACTCAACATGTGTATTTAAAATTCATTACTTTGAAAATCAAAGTGTATTTTGTGATTTAATGCTTGCAAATTAGAAATACCATATCTGGCCTGAACAATTTTAGACAATAAGAGCAGCAAAGAAGTCTATCTCCTTGCTGCAATTTGTTTGTAGTCCAGACCTTTGCAGTCCAATAATAGGATGACAACCATCAGATGATTCTATTCTAAGCCAGTCCATGGCTTCAGGGATGAAGTGATCAATAAGGAACATTTTTAAAAAATTATTTACATCATACTTTTAAGGGAGACAATTTTTTTCCAAAGTGGATACAGGAACTGCCCGCCCCCCACAGCAGTAATTAATGAAATACATGTTTAAGATACCCTTACTTTGTCCCTCGGTTAGGAATACAATGGTGAGAATTTACTTCTAGGATGTCAGATCATACTCTGGCCCCAATAGGAGCTTTTTTACTGCCTCCTTAATAGTCCCCAAAATTGAGATTGAGATATTCAGATGTCCAAATGTCCTTAAGTGGTTATGTTGGAGAATGGACAAGGTGAGTTTCAGATTCTCAGTTCTATAACCTTCCTTCACAACCGCCTATATCATAGAAATGTAGGCCGTCTTAAGAGCTCATCTATCTTTATTTTTATTTATTTATTTATTTATGTTTTGGTACAGCCTGATTCCAGAGTGACTCTAGATTGTTCACAATACAAAAAGCAAACTACAAATATAACAAATTAAATAAGAATATAGTACAGGATTGTAATAATTTATAAATTATTCTCCACTTTTACTTCCACAGAAGAGAAAAAGTAAGCAAAAAAGAGCCAGACACCTGAAAAAAGATATAGAGATGCATTTCCACTTTTCTAAGATTTGGGATTATTGAAAATCTCTCATACCAGAGTACTTAGCTTCAGTTTTAAAATTGCTCAGGCTATGTTATCAGTTTTGAATTTATCCACATCCTCTTTCAAAATGGGTCAAGTCCTGACACAATGTCATACCCACCACAAACACATTATTAATTTTTGCTGCTGAATGGCACTCATATGTCAACTTTTCCTTCTAGAAAACTCTAATTGCTCCAGAATAGCAAGGGCCAAGAACCTCAAGGAAATATGTCATAATTTCCCTGTCCATTTTTTAATATAAGATATGCACAATAGTGTAGTTCCACAATAGAAAACAAATGCCAACAATCCCCAGTCAGTAATCAACAGTAATAACAAGCAATGGTCATTGCTCCATTACTCAGCTTACTCAAAGCACTATTGCAACACTGAATTTTAATAATTGAATGCAGGGTGTATATAGTGACTGTAGCTTCTGAACAAAAGCAAATTTAGAAAATTGGCTTTCTTTCATGGGGATTGAGAAATTCTAGATTCTTCAGCCACTTTGTGATAAATTAGTAAAATATCAGTTTTAACAAAGTTGTTATGAACGAAAACCTTGAATGTGATTCTTGGTATGCTACTGTCCATCTTAGCTATTTGCAATCATTTTCTCCACTGTTTTTGTCCTCTAACTGGCAAAGTGTATGAACACATTAATATAACAAAGGACTGAGCTTTTCAAATTTAAACATATTAGTTTTGCTTCCATAAATTCCGACCCCTTAAGAATGAGCAATTCTGTCAGTTGTCTTTTGCTCTATTTTTAATCAAGTTTTTTTTTCTATGCAACTTACAAAAAATACAAATATTCTAGTAAACTATCTTTTAAAATGCTAAATGAAATTCCTTGCTATCCATCTGTATAAACCAGTTCAGCAAGTGTAGCTATATATTAAACATAAAAAGATAATAATTTTATCTGTCAACCATTTGGTGAGGAACAATAGAAAAAAGCAGTGGTACCTCATTGAGTAGCAGAAATATTCGAATGAACAGAGATTCAAATCTGGGTCTTCAAAAATAAAGTGTACTTTTAAGGGACTTCAAGATTTTTAAAAGTGCCATTGTTAAGATTTTTGATTTATTTAGTTGATGCTCCCAATTGTCATAGCAATTTACTACAGGTAATCCTCAACTTACAACTGTTCATTTAGTGACTGAAGTTACAACGACACTGAAAAATGCGATTTATGACCTGTCCTCGCACTTTTTTTAAAAAAATTTGATTTATATGCCGCTCTTCTCCGGAGACCCAGGGCAGCTTACAATGCGTTAAGCAATAGCCTTCATACTTTTGTATATGTATACAAAGTCAGCACTTACAGCCATCGTAGCAACTCCACAGTCAAAAATTGGACTTTTGGCAACCAGCATATATTTTCAATGGTTACAGTATTCTGGGGTCACATGATCACTATTTGTGACTTTTCCCAGCTGACTTCCAACAAAGCAAGGTCAATGGGGAATCCAGATTTGCTTAGTTAACTACTGTGATACCATGGCAAAAAGGTCATAAAATCAGGTGTGACTCACTTAACAACCACATTGCTTAACAATGAAAATTCTGATCCCAGTTGTGGTTGTAAGTCGAGGACTATCTTATATATTAGAGATACTAAACCAAATCCATTCTTGATTTAGTCATCCCTTATTGTCTTATTGCTGTTGTTTCTCATACAACTTTGTGCCTGGCTTCCATATTTGGGCAGCATTTTGATTCCCCAAAGGAACTCTCTTGCTCCCCAACTCCATTCCACCTCCTTGGACTTCTAGAAATTTGTGGCATCTTTATTTTGCGTCTGAGCTTTTTTTGTTGTGGGAATGAGTAGCCCTTAGATATTTTGAGGAGCACTGACTTCTTTACTTTTTCTTTCACTGTCTTTTTATACCACTTCCACCAACTTCTGTGTTCCTTCTTCTGAAGTGAAATATAATGGTTAACTTTTGTAAGTTTGCTATTCATATATAAATTAAATCTAACCACGCTATGCCTCTCATCAGTTCAAACAGCCACCAAATTTTCCATTTGGTGCTGCCTGATCCAGTTCTGGGTTATTTCCATTATAGCAGGGGTCAGCACTGGATGCGGCCCACCATCTGAAATCATCTGGCCCTTGGACCCAAATAGAAATATGTTCACCAAGCCAGCAAGCCAGAGAGTGAGGACACTTTCTAACTACTCAAGCAGCCATTTTAGCTTAGGCTTCATCTGTCACTTCAGGATAAGTGGAGCAACAGGATCCTGAAATGGTAGCAGCAGCCAGGCCTGAAGTGGTATGTTTATTTAGGATTTATTTCAGTTTTATGTTATTTCTAATCACTTTTATCTAGTTCATCCAGTTTGACAGAAGGGATTGACTATTATTGTATGATTCTCTTTCAGATATGTGTTTCCTTCATCCTTTGTGATCAACTGAGCTTGATCACCCACAAGGATTTGGCAGATTTGATTATCAGCTACAGCTGTCTGCTTCTGGCCTGCTTCTGCCATATCTCCACTTGACAATCAAAAATGTCCTCTCACATATTTCCTAGGCCAGACACAGGCAATCTGTGCTGTCTGGATTATCTGGCTTTCAGCTCCTATCAGTTCAGGAAAGTGTCCATCATGAGAGATCTTCAGCCCCAAAGAAGATGGTAGAATACATCGTTAGCCCCTTAAAAAAAAGAAAGAAAAAGGAATTATCATTACAGAACAGAACAGAACAGAACAGAAAGGAACACCTCAGAGACTTTATTGATTCAGATTCTACTCATTCCCTGCTTTCCAAGATGCAAATATTATGTATAATACATGTATGTATATATGTGTGTGTGTATCCATATACAGTATGTATATATGTGTATATATACCTCTATGTGTGGAGAAAGAGAAGACTGCATGCAGACAGTATATCTGATTGTAGTCTTCCCTTGTATAGGGGCTGGTATGCCTTTGGGGTCAGAGACCTGTAGGCCACACCAAACATCCTGCCATATATGATAGCCCTGAAAGCCTTAGTGAGGGTATTTCTCATGGAAACATTCTGTGGGCCTGCAAACGTTCTGGGGGCCTTGTTTAATGCAAAAGGTGTGTAATTAAAGTTCTCCTCTGGGAACATTTAGTTAGGCATTGATTATTCTACACAGCTTTGCCTAAAACCCTCCCCCCCTCCCAATTTTCTTTCAGCAATTTGGAGCTATTCCCATTTGAGTTAACTCCTAGGCCACCTCATGTGAGGAGAATTCTCATTCTTTATTTGTTATTTGTAAACCACTAACTGTAACAATTCTGTACCTTCACTTTTTCTTTCTTAAAAATACTGTACTAGGCTGTATCAGTTCATTTGTTCTTGGGTTTTATTTTTTAAAAAATCTGATTATTGTAATGCATTGGATGAGAATTGTAGATTCTTTGCAGACTTGTGAATTGCTCACTGTGGCTAAGTCAGCATGACTGAAGAACATGGGCTGTGAGATGTATGTGAATAGGTAGTAGTTATGAATCCCTCTCTTCAAAGATTCAGACCATGTCTGTTGGTGCTTTGGTTTGTCTGTTTCAGTCCCATGTGGCAGTGGTTGTCTATGGACTCCATTAACACGGGGCAATAGAACCACTGTGAATTGCAGTTCTGAAGCTCCACAAAGCAAAAAAGAAGACAACCATAGCTTTCTTTCTTTTTGTTCGTCTCATACTCCTAGATGCTCTGTATTGGATGCAAAAACTAAAGTAATATCCCATCATCACCACTTTTAATTATAATTAGGGAAAATGAGATCTTATTAGAAAGAAAACTCTCCTCATATTAACAACTCTGATGCTTCTGTAGAATGTCAAATGGGCACAACATGTAGTGAAAAAACAGAAAGTAGGTGTTAGCATTTCCCTCTTTCTGCGGTGAATAGGAGAGAATGGATTTTCGTTGCTCCATTGAGTGGCGTTGTTTGCAATTGGTTGATTGGAGGGGGCTCTGATTGGCTTGTTATGTTCCCTGCTTGTTCCCAGGGTTCCAAGAATGGCAGGAGTAAAAATCACATACTGTAGCTGGGTTGAAACAGAGGTATTGGGGAGTGGAAACAGTGCCACATAGAAGTGTCTGAAATTGATCCAAAATATGTGTACTCATTGATCATAGCACATCTGACTTTTACCCAAATTTCTGGTTTTTTGGTCAGACCTTAACAGCTAGCCCTCCTTTTCTGAAATTCTGAATTTTAAATTGCTTTTGCAAATATCCCCCAGCTTTTTCCTATACTGCAGTAAATGCCCAGGCCATTTTCTTTGATTCTAATAAACTGAATTGTAGTGACTCAATGGTAGATGGGGGGAAAAGTTCTTTCTGCGCTGAGCCATCTGTTTTTATTTTTACATCTCTATTCTTTTACTATTATCTGAAAACACACGAGGACAAGATATAGAAGCAATTTTACTGAAGAAGACTAGTTCACAAATAAAATGTCTCGTTACCCAGGTACTGCTGATTAATAGCTCAGATATCCTGCTTCTTACAACACCACACCTTCTGATTGTAACGTTGCTGATTGTTCTGCTAAGTGAGCTGGGGAAAATGGAGAGTGGATGAATGGACAACACAGTCAATAACCACAAGCTTTGGATGTGAAGTGATTAGGAATGTAGGACACAGGCTGTTTTAAAACTATGTAGGACTTGCATGTTTGAAATTTTCACTCTAAGAAGAGTGAAGAGAAAAGTAAGATGATGATGATGATGATTGATGATGATGATTGATGATGGTGGCAGTGATATTGTTAGAACTAGGCTGCAAAAATACAGAAAACCACATGATTGCAGGAGACAGATACAAAAGGTTTCACTGTTATTACCAGTGGATTTCTGGATTTTTACAACATAGATCTGATATAAAATCATGAAAAATCATGAGCTCAATTCAGAAAAAATTAAGGTGTGTATTTAGTATCTAAAAGTCTTTGGGGGACTGCTGGAATTGGCAAAAAGTAAAGAAAATGAGTTGGCTTTTCTTTGTGAGATAGAAAAGATAAACCAAAACAATATGACATGCGTCAACATTGAACAGGTTTACTCAGAATTAAATTTCTCAGACCCCAACAAAACCTGCATATGATGACTTTTAGCATCGCATTTTAGCATTTTATTCAGAAATGTGCTATAAACCTGTTATACTGCAATATGTAAAAAGGATGGAAGATTGGCATCACATAAGGGGTGAGTGATCAGGACAGGTTGCTGAATTCAGAAAGACAATTAAATTGTCTAAAATATATACTGTAAAAGTATTTACATTTATGCTGGGAATGTGAACAAGAGGAGACTTTTTATCATGCTTGCTAGATGAGTAAAAAAGCTAAAAATATTGGATTCAAATACATATATTAATTCATAATATTTTAAAGGTAAATTAAATGCAATTAAAGCCAGGCATCCTTCTTTGGGACTGATTGACAAAAAGTTAGAAAAAACTCACAGTACTTTGTTTTTATATATGATAAGAACAGTGAAATTCTTCTATGCACAATGGTAGAAAGATTTGGACATTACACACAATGGAAGAGTGGATGGTGAAGATGATGGAGCTTGCTGAGATGGCGAAATTGACAGCTTTGATTAGAGAAAAGACACTGATTAATTTTAATGCTGATTAGAACCACCTCTTGGATTCTTTTGCATAAAACAGAAAAAATGAAATTATGATACTGTATATCAGTTTGATGTTTAAGGGGAAAAAAGTAAATAATAGAAAAATTGAAAGTTGTATCACAACCTTGGAGTAAGAGATCAGTTTAAAGTTATAACAGTTATACAATAAAAGAAAATTGGACATCATTTCCTTATGTTTCTTTTCTTTTCTCTTCCTTTTCTTTCACCGCTTTTGGCTTTGTTTGCTCTTTCTTTTTCTGTCATCTTAATTATTAATTCTTGCTAGTTTCTTTCTTTCTTATTTAAAATATAATAAAGTTATAAAACAGGGACAGGTTGCATATTTCAGGAAATGAGGCATTCCTGGGTGAGGATTAATTATTGTAATCAGGAGAATGGAAAAACTTATAAAGAAAAGACTATTGTCTATTGGCAGAATGAACTTGAACATATGGCCTTTCAAAATTTTCCTGCCCCTATTTCAAGAAACTCTATAATTGGAACAATTTGGCTATCCTAAGGGTTGATTCTTTAATCCACTAACAATGCTTTACTGTTATTGAATTACAGATTCACACATAGAATTTATTCTTACTCTGCTCATAGAAACCAAATAACCAGGTCCTGTAAAAATATTGGATAATTCAGCATATTATAAGTATGAGATCAGAATGCAATTCTCTCATAAAGAGAGACTGATTATTACAAATAACATTACCCATCATAGAACATGAATGGTAGCATAGAAAATAGTTTTATAATTTAAATAATTTTCTGATAATTTGAGGAAAACATTGAAGAAATTATTTATTATAGTTAAGAAAATACGAGGACGTTTTAATGAGATTATTTTATTTTGTGAAAAAGAAATGTCCCCTTAAATTTCTGCTTTATTTATTTTGAATGTGGACTATATTTCACAACTCTTTTATTGCCATGTTGTACAAAGTGAAGAATTAATCACAGTGCACTGGATCATTTAGATCATGTCTTTCTTGCACCTAACTATGATACAAACATGGCCTGGCAATATATTTTCTGCCTACTATATCTGTGTAATATTCTCTTCAACTTAAAGACCCTGGCCTATGAGTGAGAGAGGTCTAAGTTCATCTTTGCTGACTGGTAGTAAGGGTAGTATTTTCTCCTTTGTTCCAAGGCAGCCCCAAGAACTTAAAAACGGTTACCTTGGACAGAAAGTAATTAGTGATTACAATGACTTGAAACAAACAAACAAAAAAAAGCAAGATAGGGATCAGCAAAGGACACAGCATATTTCATATTTCAGTAGTTTTCTGCTAACTGAAATATTGGTGAATCTGGTCATGGGGGAAAGACCCTTAGCCTTTTCCTGAGCATGTAAGAAAAAAATTAATATTCAAATAAGTCTTCCAAATGTTAAATTAATATATTTATATGCCCAGAATGCTAATGCTTATATTTTCAGGATATGCAATATAATAGGACTAACACATTAGCAGTAATTATATTATCAAATGCTAGGACAGTCACAAATCAGATTTGTCAGTTTAGAACCAGTAATGTCAACAAGGTTAAACAAACACCTTGACATCCTGATAACATTTTGAGATAACTTGATTTTAATGATAGTTGCTGGATTGTAACTAAGAAAAGCAGACAACAAAGGGAACAATATTGCCTGCAGTGCGATATCTCAGTAGAAATATGGCGAGGAACAGCAGCCTGTCTGTTTACATTCTGTCGCTTATGTTAGATGGTCTTTAATCAGTTGGTTGCTTTCCAGCTTGTATACCTTGTTTACAAAGCTGCTTTTTATCATGTCAGGTCAAAGATTGATCTGTCTTCATACATTTGTCTTAAAAAAAGATATCAGTTAAAAGATATCAGTTTTGTGAGGATTCATGCAAGACTTTCCCCCTGTTCTACCTGAAAGTATCTGGGACTGAATTATCCATCCATCCATCCAGCCACCCATCTATCCGTTTATATTATCAAAATAATTTGGTTCTCTTTCATATATAAAACAAATGCTGCATAATTGTGTTAATAATGATGAGT